CCGCAACCATGAAGACTCATCCATCATTGCTGCCCGGGAGCGAGTGCTTTCAGCAGAGACTGCGGAAAGAGAGGCAGACCGAGCACTCGTGCAAGCCAGAGCTGCTGTACAAGAGGCCAGGAACCATGTCAAGATGCTTGAGCGTGAAGCCGAAGAGGAGTATGTTCTCAACTTAGCTTTGATGCATTCGGGCCAATACTAACATGTCACGTTAGGGCTCGTCTTGCCAAGATCAAGCAACAACAAGCCAAAGATATCGGAAAGAGAGCTAAGCCTCTTGGACGTGAGTTACATCCTCGCCCAGCCCTTGATCAATGCCAGAACTAATATCTGGTTCTCCTCAGGCCATGACCGCTACTGAGCGAGATGATGATGCACTCAGATGAAGCCAGAGAGACGATGGATCATGAAGATTGCATGACTGAGATGCGTTGAGCGACTGTAACAATACTCTCCTAGATATCCCCTGTATCATGTGTGAGATTATATGTAACATTAGCGTGTTGGTCGTTTGAAGGACCGGTGAGAGGAGCAATTACTTATTTTCAATTCACCACCCTTCAATGTGTGTCCCACTTCTTCAAGGGCGGTTATTGGCTGTCATTGGTCTAATGACGCCCATATTTGTTATCGGGTGGAGTCAGGTAGCTGCAGCCGCGGCCACAAAGCCGCCTGCCCTTTCCTCCGGATTCACATTGCGTGAAAGGAGCGTGCCTACATACCGAGTACATGTTGGGCAATGGCTGCCCGTCCCAACACCAGCGCAGCTCTGCAATATTCTGATCCTCTCTATTTCGTCCCATCCCTCCGAGCTCTTTCTTGATGCCATTGTCCTAAGCAACGGCCGTGTTTAGGCCTGGAACCATGGCCAGCCCCTCCGTCATGTGGCCCCGCGCCGCTCGCTCAGCACACCGCGTCGTTCGGCGGCAACATCTCCTACGGAACGAGCTGAATCGCATGTGCAAGAGATGCATGTCTACTGCAGCACAGCAGAGTGAGCCCTCTGGCCGCAGACCGCCACCGACGCAAGTACCACAAGAACGACCATCGTTCGCAGAAACAAGTGAGCGATTTAGCCAGCGGCACATTGGCCCTTCTCCCGAGGATGAAGCGCAGATGCTCAAAAAGCTGGATCCGCCAGTCAAAGATCTTGATGATTTCATACACCAGTCTCTGCCGTCCGGTATCCGACAAAAGAACCCTACCATCATTTCACGCGGAAAACAGAACAACACCCATGGCCAAAAGGAGGGACAAGTGCGAAGTGAGTTGCAAGCCCTTGGGAGGAGGAACAGATCATGGCACAATTTCATCGGCAGCGGGTACTACGGCACCGTCCCCCCTGCGGTCATCCTCAGAAACGTCCTGGAAAATCCTGCTTGGTACACAAGCTACACGCCATATCAGGCCGAGATCAGTCAAGGTCGCCTGGAATCGCTCCTCAACTTTCAGACGCTTGTCACAGACCTCACAGGTCTGGCAATAGCAAATGCCTCTATTCTCGATGAAGGCACTGCTGCCTCCGAAGCAATGACCTTGTCCATGAATGCGCTCTCGACTGCTCGACTGAAGAAGCCAGGGAAGACGTTTGTCGTTTCCAACCTTTGCCATCCTCAGACGGTCGCGGTTCTAGAATCACGTGCGACTGGGTTTGGCATCAACATCGTGGTTGGAGATATCCTGGACAACGATTGTCAGCTTGTGAAAGACCAAGGGGATAACCTGATCGGAGTCCTGGCGCAATATCCAGACACGACTGGAGGTGTACACGACTTCCAAAATCTCGCCGACGTTGTACATGCCACCGAGGCCACGTTCTGTGTCGCGACGGACTTGCTTGCCCTCACTCTTTTGAAGCCTCCGGGAGAATTCGGCGCAGATGTCGCCTTCGGCAGCGCCCAAAGATTTGGTGTGCCAATGGGTTTTGGTGGACCGCACGCCGCCTTCTTTGCGTGCAGTGAGAAGCACAAACGAAAGATTCCTGGTCGGCTCGTAGGCGTCTCGAAAGACAGACTCGGCAATCGTGCTCTGCGGCTAGCACTTCAGACACGCGAGCAGCATATCAGGCGCGAAAAGGCCACTAGCAACATATGTACTGCACAGGCTCTTCTCGCCAACATGAGCGCATTCTATGCCATTTACCATGGACCACAAGGCCTCAGGGATATTGCGAACAAGGTTTGGGCCAGCACCAAGTTTCTTCAGGCTTTGATCGAGAAGCACAGCACTACTCTCAAAGTTGTCACAAAGGGACTTCGTGAAGACGGTGCCGTACTCTTCGATACTGTCACATTGGAAGTGCAAGACCGCGATCAATATGAGGAGATCTTATCACGGGCGGAGGCAGCTTCAGTTTCTCTGCGTACCATTATTTCCGGAAATTCGAGCCGGAAACCACAGCTCGCCTTTTCGATTGACGAGAGTACCGGCTTGAAGAGTATGTCTTTACTCGCACAAGTGCTTGGTATTGAACAGGACGTTTTCGATCGTGCTTTGGGCGAGTCAGGAATACTCGCGAGAGTCAACAATGCTTCGAGCGCCCTACAAAGGTCGACACCTTATTTGACCCATCCCGTCTTCAACCAAAATCACTCGGAGACTGAATTGCTTCGGTACATCCATCATCTGCAGTCCAAAGACCTATCTCTTGTGCATTCCATGATACCGCTGGGATCATGCACCATGAAGCTCAACGGAACCACAGAGATGCAACCCATATCCAATAGTGCATGGAACAAACATCATCCCTTCGCCCCCAGCCAGGGAGGCTATCAAGCCCTCATTGCGAGGCTGTCGGACAATCTGGCTTCGATCACTGGCATGCATACCGTCAGCCTGCAACCCAATTCAGGCGCGCAGGGTGAATTTGCTGGATTGCGTGTGATTGAGAAGTACCATTCCAGCCGAGGAGAAAGCAAGCGAAAGGTCTGCCTCATACCTGTCTCTGCGCATGGAACAAACCCTGCGTCAGCTGCCATGGCGGGCATGAAGGTGGTTCCGCTGAAGTGCGATACCAAGACCGGCAATCTGGACGTCCAAGACCTCAAGAGTAAATGCGAGAAGCATAAGGATGACCTGGCTGCCATCATGATCACCTATCCCAGCACGTTTGGTGTCTTCGAGCCGGCGATCAGAGAAGTTTGTGAAATCGTTCACGAGCACGGGGGTCAAGTCTACATGGACGGGGCGAATCTCAATGCTCAAATCGGCCTGTGCAACCCTGGGGATATTGGAGCCGATGTCTGCCATCTGAATCTGCACAAGACGTTTTGCATCCCTCATGGTGGTGGTGGTCCCGGTGTTGGACCTATCGGTGTGAAGGAACACCTGAAGCCCTTCCTACCTACACACCCTCACGTGGATCCTCATCCTGGCCCAGACCGAGCCAGCACTGCTATCTCCCCTGTTAGCTCGGCACCCTGGGGCAGTGCTCTTATTCTACCCATTAGCTATGCCTATATCCAACTCATGGGAAGCGAAGGGCTGAAGCATGGCACGGAAGTCGCATTGTTGAATGCGAACTACATCATGTCCCGCCTCAGACCGCACTACAAGATTTTGTACACCAATGAGAATGGCAGATGCGCGCATGAGTTTATTCTGGACGCGAGAGGCTTCAAGGAGACTGCGGATATAGAAGCCATTGATATTGCCAAGCGCCTACAAGATTATGGCTTCCACGCACCTACCATGAGCTGGCCTGTCGCCAACACCCTCATGATCGAACCCACCGAGTCAGAATCCAAGGAAGAGCTCGACCGATTCTGTGACGCCTTGATTGAGATCAGGAAGGAGATTAAAGCCATCGAGGATGGCCAGATGCCGCGAGAAGGCAATGTCCTCCGAATGTCACCACATCCACAGCATGATCTCATGCGAAATGACTGGGATCGTCCGTACACCAGAGAACAAGCGGCATATCCACTGCCGTGGCTCAGAGAGAAGAAGTTCTGGCCCACAGTGGCGCGTGTCGATGATGCTTATGGCGATACGAATCTCTTCTGCACTTGCACGCCCGTCGAAGGATATGAGGAAGAGGGGTTTACGGGACATCAGGCACCGATGCCAACATAAGTGCTTTGGACCTGAATTGCCAAAACGTTATCATAATGAGTGGGTCAAGCATGATCGGGAGTTCAACAGTTCTGGTCAGGAATGGTCACACTATGGGTGCTTTGGGCGAATTTGTGAGCGGGCCGGCAACAATGAGCAATCTGGAACCCAATGTGTAAAGTACGAGGTATTCGGCGCAAGCTCAACCACTGCTAATAACGCGTGATCTATTTCAATGCTTCCACTTATAGCTCTCGAATTTGCGGTGGTCGACTGTCTTCTTGACAAGATGGGAGCGATCGAGGTAGCACAGTATGAAGACGAATCTGCCCATTCTCTGTCATACCGTAAAGACCATGCGTGTGATACGTCGACCGTGTCCCAGGCGCACGACTCGCACAGCCACAATCCTCCCACCATCCCGGCAAGCTTGCTCCTCTGCCATTCGCACAGCACCGAGGACGCCGCGGGGCTGCACTACCGGAGCCAGGATCAGGTGCGTCGATGAGCGACACCCACTGCCAGCTAACTGATCCCAACGGGTGACTTGTCGACAGCTGGGATGGATGCATATGACATCATGTGTGTCCCTCTTTTTCTAATGTTGTGTCTCTCGTGGGACGGCCTCATATAACCAAGGGTGTACACATTTGGGTACTTGGGACGCCTCCCATACTCGGTCCTTGACTTTTGACGAATACTCGTACCTGCACGAGTACGGAGTACTTGTTGCTACAATAGCCATACCGATATCACATACCAGATACCAGATTATCGTTACCTTTACCCATAACTTTACCAATACCAATACGAGTACGAGTATACCTAGGTATACCTACACGTATTACCCCCCCCCCCTCTCTCCATCTATATATCCATTACCGCATCCTGCAAGCGCGGCAAACAGGCAAACAGGCAGACAGACAGACAGACAGGCGTCACCGAGAATGCCCATCAACACCTCCTCATCAGACGAAGGCGTCACGGGCGCCGCCAAGTTCGTCACCTCAACCGTCGGGGTAAGTCATGCTTTGGATTTTTGTACTTGTAACTTTTCCCGTCTCTCGCCTCTCGCCGGGTTCGCGCTACATGGCCATTTAGCCAATCAGCCAGTTAGCCAGCCAGCCAGCCAGCCAGCCAGAAGTTCTTACACAAGCACACACTGACACTGTACTAACGCTCCGCTCTGCTCCACAGAACACCCTAGGCGGCGTGGCCAGGACGGTCGGCGGCGTGACGGGCGCTCTGGGCCGTGGGCTGGGCGACACGATCACGGGCGCGACGGGCAGTGCGGGCAAGCCCGTGGGTGACGGGTTGAGCAATGCCTTGACCGGGGTGGAGAACGGGACGAAGAAGGTGGCCAGGGGCGTCGAGGACGCGGGGGAGTGGAAGGGGGGTGCAAAGAGGTTTTAGGGGCGAGGTTCGAGGGGCGAGTACAGGTACGGTACATGTACGTATACCCGGGGTGCTTGATTGGGGAGGGGGGGTCATGACTGGATTTGAGTTTGGAATAGGGACAAGAGGGAGGGTTAATGGGTAGAGACTATGGGATGGCAGGCGAGGGACTTGCTCTGCCGTGGAACAAGGGACGCAAGAAGGGAAAGGGGATCTGAAAACAGTTGAACTGGGTTGTGCTGGGCTGCGGGAGAGGACGAGGAGGCCGAGCGGCAAGATAGTCGAAGAGAGGAGCACATTGCGTCGAACTGGAAATGCTATTCATGGTGCTGTGATACAATGAGCACTGTGTTCTGTGTATGTGTATTTCGATTTCAGACTGCCTGTTTCCGGCTCCCGATCAAGTTCACAGACCCTGACTTGGAGGAGTCGTTACACTCGTATGATGGACGTTGGTGTGGCCTGCACTATTGGCAGGGACTTGGACGATCATCGTGGACATGTCGTTTCTGTCTTCCGACTGTCCATGTTTGTTCCAGTGCATTCCCGGAGATGAGGATCTTGGTTTAGTGACTGATGGTCATGCAACCATCTCCTCTTCACGACCATGCTTCTCCATTGGATTGAGAATGGACATTCATTTTCGTGTATTCATGATAGATGATTACTGTTTAGTCATTCGAGCCCCAGAGATCAAAAAATACCCGTGAACAACATCAATACCAATCGTGCCCCTTTTCTCCGAGCTTGATCTTGTTCGGGTTCATCGAGACCATCTTTTGTCCCGGGATCTGGTCGACCGTGAACTGAGACTCGAAAGTGCCAGAAATTGCACGTCTCCCGAGAGCTGTGAAGGAATCGTATTCGGCTTCTCCATTGCACGCAGCCCATTCCAGGCTCTTAGGAGAGGATCCATCGCCAAGGTCGCTCCACCGTGTGACTACGACGGCGTGCTTGAACAACCTCCTTGGGTCGGGGTCACTTCTGTCCTCTTGCACTCTCATCTCGATGAGATACTCGGTCGGGCATTCCGGACAACGCCGCATGGGTCTGCATTCGGAGCACAAGGTGATGATGGGATGAGGTCGGTGAAAATGATAATGTACCTTCGCGCTGGTGCCGGCGATCCCGCTGCCCTCTGGCGGTTTCGGAATGTGACTCAGGGCACATTTGACGGCGGGCATCAGATTGCCATCCCTCCAATGCGAGCAGACAGAGAAGTATGGATTGAAATTGTCGCTGGGTGAATAAAGTAATCGGCGTAGCCCTGCCGGAGGTAGTGCCGGGGTTGCAAACGCTGAGCTGATGACCCGCACCAGCAGATGGCCATTGACGATCACGTAGCGTGTTTGATGGGTCCACTCTCCATCTCGATCCTTGTACCGCCGTGACATGGAGTCGATTGGGATCCCGTGCTCTTTGGAGTACTTCTGGCCTCGCAGAATGAGCTGCACAAATGGGAATGGGAGAGCGCGTCCCACGGTGATTCGGTGTCGTGACACTTTGTTCTCGATGTTGAAGACATTCGGGCAGTTGAAGATGGGGTTCGAGACGTTGGTAGGACGTAGGACTTCTTGGCCTTTCTGTGACCTGACGTGGTATATTGCGCACGGAAAGCAAAGCAGATGATTCGGGAGGTGTTCATCCAACCGACCAAGCAAGTCGATTTTGGCATCTCGGTTCTCTGCGATATTCAAATCGGTCCAAACCCCCGTGCCTAGCAAGTCCCGGAATGGTTTGCACGAGAAGGCGAGGCTGGCTTTATCTGCTGGACCCATGAATTCCACCATCCGGCTCCAGACACTTGCGGGAAACCTCGCGAACAAATCGGCCGCGGGCTGCGGCGGCATCCCAACGAACATGGCTTGAGCCTTGTCAGCTAGAGATTCTGCTGAGCCCCGGTGGGCAAGACTGTGTAACAGCTCAGTATGATCCCTTCGCTCGCCGGTCTGGGCATCTCTTTCCCATTCATCCTCCCCTCCTCTGCTGGCAAGGGTGGAAGCCTGGCGAGACGACCGAGTGTATTCGAGGCTGTTCTTGACAGAACCTGCTCTCGAGCTTCTACCAGACGAGTTTGTTTCCTTGAGGGTGACTGTGGAGATCGAGGCCTTCTTTGCATCATCACCGATCTTGAAGTCAACCACAGACGACGCCCTCGAACTTGACCGGCTTCCGGACCTCGTCTTGAAGGGGTTGAGGAAGCTCAAAGAGCCCTTCCTTGCGACGTCTGTCATGTTGGCCAAGAATGGGGGTTCGACACTAGTTAGCGGATCCTTCTCAGGATGGGATATTGGAGTCGACGTAGGTGCATCAGCAATGTAGAAAGTCTCAGGCAATGTTCCACGCGTCTGACAGTTTCAAGTGAGGAGAAAATTTGCAGTGCACGGCCGGGACATAGCGGCTACTTGTAGGACCAGTGACTACAGAGTGCGATGTCCTCATCCGTCAAAGCCTCGAGAACGATGAAACACGGCAGAAGCTGACTCTCGATTGCAATGTGTCTGCTCCAATGGAGGAGGGGAAAGAGCTTGTGAAGAAGCATCATGTCGTACAGTTCCGTCAAATGCCGTCGCATGTTTGGCCGAGTCCGATAAGGCGACTACAGCGTTATATAATCATCGTCTGGGCGTCTTGGAATGCCACCATAGGCCATGACTGCCACGGCGGCCCGTCAATATGCAATGCAGCAGCCGCAGTGGTCCGCCGACTGTGTGTGTAAGCGACGAGCGTGGCGAGTCTGGAGACGCCTGCCGAGCACGATTGCGGCAAGGGTGATAGAGGACCGAGAGGTCTACATGCGTGCCTCGGTATACCGGGGTACAGTAATTACGCTGAATCTGAGAAGAAACGGCCCAGTTAGATATAGTCACACGAGTCACCATTTGCGCTCGACAGTGAAACGTGGAAGTGATTGGAAAGTAAAGCAAATCTGAGCAGATGTGCGTCGATCTGTCGAGATCGTCATTTGTCAGTCGCCATCGACGTTTCTCGAACTCACCAAGTGCGCGTCCTTTCGTTTGCCTGATCTGAACTTCATCATGGGTTCATATCGCGATCGACCTCATATGGCGAGGTCTTTTACCCTCACAGGCACGCAACAAATATGTCACCGTCTTCAGAGTCCTTGAGATGGTCGGCTCAACTTCGTGTCGCTCCGTCAAATCGTCGTCTCGTTGGAGACAAGATTACCTTGCCACAGTCTGCCCTCGAATCACTCCTGGCTGCCGCGCCCGTGGTCTCTATCCAGAACAACACGAATAGACAGCGGACATCGTCCTTCGATCCCTTCAACCCTTATTCATTCGCCGCTGAGCGCCGTGCTCGCGAAGCTTTCGAAGACCGTCAGCAACAATTACCCCATCCTCTCACTTTCCGCCTTGTCAACCCGCACAATGGAAGGGCAGTATACGCTGGCATCCGCGAATTTTCGGCCGCCGAAGGTACGGTAGGCTTGAGCAGCGGTCTTCAAGAGGCGCTGGGCCTGCAAAATGTCACACCTTCTGCTTCCACGACCCGGGAAGGCACTCCGGATGGGGATGTGGTCATGACAAACGGGACCGACACATCTAAGGGAGAATTGATAACTATACATGCGAAGCAATTGCAGAAAGGCACTTTTGTCAAGCTGCGACCTTTGGAGGCTGGATACGATCCGGAGGATTGGAAGTCTCTGTTAGAACGCTATCTGCGGGATAACTATACCACGCTGACCCGCGGAGAGTTGCTTGTCGTGCCTGGTGCCCATCATGAAAGATTTCGGTTCTTGGTCGACAAGTTTGAACCGGACGAGGATGGCATCTGTATCGTTGATACCGATCTCGAGGTCGACATAGAGCCTTTGAACGAGGAACAAGCGCGGGAGACTCTGAAGAAGACACTGGCAAAGAAGAACCGAGGCCAGGAGTCACCTGAAGGAAGCTCATTAGGAGGCCCACTGAGGTTTGGCAGCGAGATTCAAGGGAGAGTCCTACCTGGACAGTATGTCGACTACGAATTGACAGACTGGGACAAAACCCGGGATCTCGAAGTTACCTTGCAGGCTTCCGACGATGACACCAGGCTGAATCTACTGGTTACGCCTTTCTCTGCCAAACATCGCTCGAAGCCACGAGACGACGAGTACGTCTTCGGGGACCTCAGTGTACGACCCACCAAGAGACTGAAACTCTCGCACACAAGCGTCGACCTCGAGGCCGCCGAAGCCTTGAACGTCGCTGTGCACGCTTGGAGTAACAAGAAAGAACATTCTCAGGATGAAGCCCGGCCAATCTCCTATAGCCTTCAAATCTCCACCCCTACGCAGGCAGATGATGCAGGCGATGAGAACAGTGCGCTATCTCCCGAGGATGTGATGTGCAAGAACTGCCGTCAAGTAGTTCCCAAGCGCACCCTTCCTCTTCACGAAGCATTTTGCTACAGGAACAACATTCTGTGTCCGAAGTGCTCGGAGGTATTCCTGAAGAAGTCCGACGCCTGGCAAAACCACTGGCACTGTCCCCACGACGGAGAACACGGCAACGATGCTGCTTCACACGAAAAGCACGACGCTATCCTCCACCCACAATCACCGTTACAGTGTCCAGAATGTGACTTTCAAGCTTATGACGTGCCGATTCTGGCACATCATCGAACGACGACCTGCCCAGGGAAAGAAATCTTATGCCAATTCTGTCACTTGGTCGTTCCTCAACAGGGCCCGGAAGACCCTTCCTTCACGGACCCGGAGGTGCTTATGAGTGGCCTCACTCCCCATGAGCTGGCCGACGGTGCACGGACAACAGAATGCCATCTCTGCAACAAGATCGTCAGGCTCCGAGACATGAAGACCCATCTACGGCTTCACGATCGCGAAAGGTTCTCCAGACCGAAGCCTAGGCTTTGCTCAAATCGCATTTGCGGACGAGTGATCAAATCCGAGGACGAGCAGAGAGTGCAGAAAGAGCAGCTTGGCTTGTGCAACGAATGTTTCGGCCCGTTATACGTCACATCTTACGATCCCGAGGGCAAGATGTTGAGGCGAAGAATCGAGAGGAGATTACTTCAGCAGTTGACCGGCGGATGTGGTAAGCCTTGGTGTCGCAACGTGGATTTCTGCCGGACAGCGTATAAGAATGTCCATGGCGAGGATAGAGTCGTGTCCGCCAAAGATGGCTTGGCCATGGTCAAACCGATCGTGAACGACATCGCAAATGGGACAACCACGTCAATGGTCTTCTGCGTTGACGAAGCGAGTCAATCACGCAGAAACCTTGCCGATATGATCACGGGCGAAGGCGAATATGAGCTCGAGTGGTGCGTCCAGGCGCTTGAGGAGGAGAAAGGCGATCTCGATAGAGCACGGGAATGGTTGAAGAACCGGGCTCCAAAGGTCGGCGAGCTGGTGTCGTGACGGGCAGTGGGTAGTGGGGAGCGGGCAGCGGGCAGTATCAAACAGATCAATAAAAACCCGCTCGCTCTATACACAGGATTCGGGTGGACGAGAGGCTGCTGGGACGGTGCCCGCCATTGAACTAAATCAATGACCTCTTCCCTCCCTCGCATCCCTTTGTCCATCCTTTCCGTCAAATCTCGATCTATCGAAGCACAGGACGCTGGCCGCCTTTGCTGCCGCTCAGGCAGCAAATACGAACATGTACAATACGTTATACCTCACCTTTGCGTTGATCTGCCAAAGACTCGCTTTACGAGGCCCAAAGTCGACGAGTTTTGCCGCAGAATGGCGGCGTATTCTTCCCCTCCCTGGCCCTTGAACACCGTCTCGACGGTATCGGCAAGGTCTTCGGGCTCGCTAATGGCGTATCGTAAACGCTTGCCTGCAACCACTTTCGTATGGACTCGCGATTGTATTGGGTCTGCCGCTTTCCGGGCGGCTCCATTCACAACAAAAGCTCGTGCTACTCGCGCCCAGGAAGGATTTAGCTCGGAGCGCGCAGCCTTCAGATGGGAAGCGGCAGTAAGGAAACTTTCCCAAGTGGAGTGACCGCTTCTGTCATCGTTTGGGTTTGCGCCGTGTTCAAGGAGAGCAATTGCAGCGGATTCGAGCAGAGTGACCCTTCCGGACGGCATGTCGCTGGCCGAGGGCGACTCACAAAACAGGCTGTACTCCAGGAGAGTAGAACGAGCTCCGGAGATCAGCGGGTGCACGTACACGGTGTTCACATTTAAGGATCCAGTTCTGATCACGTCAGTTGCGTACCGTTCAACCGAGAAGGCCAGAGCCAGAGCGACGTACGATCCGGGTGAACAGGGCCAGTCTGGAGCGTGATGCTTGAGCAGGGATGTCAATGTGTGAAAAAGTCTAGGATGGGCGGCGCCAGAAGAGTTCTCCAGCGCTCTAGCATGCTCCAAGAAGGCCCTGGAAAGGTTGGGCACATCCACGGACTGCGAATCGGCCATTTTGAGTTGCGCAAGCGTCGCCTTGCATAGAAAGTCATTGGGATCAAAGGCGCCGGAAGAATATTCGTTCACAACGCTCTGCGTGGTCTTGGAGAGCAGAAAATCCCGCACGCTGCGGTGAAGGAAGTCCACATAGTATTCCATTTGACGGCCGACGGGCGGGGAAAGGTCCTGATCATGCTTCTGCGTTTCGAGCAAGCCTCTGCAGCGGCTCTCGAGTCTCCGTTCCATCGCCCGCCGCCGAGCTTGCACGATCTCAGGATGACAAGCTCGCAACGGCGTTTTGTCGACAAAGTCCGGGACTTCCTCTTCGGCGAAGAACAAAGACAGGAGTGGCGGCTTCGTTGAAGAACGAGCCAGCATGATTCTGAAGTACAAAGACGCGTATTTGCGCTGGTGACGAGGGATGCCGTTGATGATGCGTCGGAAGAACTCGTCCAGGTCGTCGGGGATCTCTTCCAGGCGGCGAGAAAGCGCCGTTACTGAATCACCATCAATTACGCCTTGACGTAAGGATCGAACCACGAGATGCACCCAGAGGAACACTCCTTGGGCCTTCTTGACAATCTCCAACACGAGTTCTTTGCTTTCTTGAGGATAGATTTGTTGTAACGACTTGAAGTCTTTGAGGTCTTGGAACCTTTCCTCGACAAAAATCTTGATATCGTTGCGGGTCAAATTTTCCAGCCGCAAAGCTGGAAACCCTTCGAAGGCTGTCTGGAATATGGGATAGTGCCGACTGGAAACGCATAGCTTGATAGAATCGGATTCAGATAACGATACCAAAAATGTGAGGAGTTCAGTCTGTTGGTCGGGGTCGCCGTCGAATTCATCCAGGCCGTCTATGAAAATAAACAAACAATGTGTCTGCTTTGACACTTCGACAAGCCTGTTGAACGCCTCGAGCAACTCGGAGTTCGTCCATGGAGGTAGACTGAAGCCGAAGTCAGCGGCTCGCCAGCGCCATGGCGCTGCCTCGGGTATCATAGAAGGCACTTGCATTAGCAAGTCATGGAGAAGAGACCTCAGCAAGCCATTGAGTGACTTCTGCGTTTCGGTGCCTGCGAGCCAGAAGAAGCAACTGGCGTATAATATAGGTTTCGAATGGGCCCAGACGGCAAGCGCATTCTTGGTCCGCGCATCTTCGGACAAGTACCGCATCAGCGTCGACTTCCCCGAGCCCGGCTTCCCAGAGATCCAGTAGAGGCCTTGAGGTGAAGGCGCACCCTCAAGCCATTCGATGAAATTGGAAAATGACGGGTCATGCGGGTCTGATGCCTGGAAGATCCAATCGAACGTCTTCCAATGAGCAGAATGGATCTGAGACCGTCTCTCCCGTATTTGCGCGAAATACAGGGTGCTGAGAATGTACTCTCGCATGCGTTTAGGGTTGTCTACGTTGATGCGCTCGTGAATGTCAGATGAAACTGCGTCGATGGCGTTCCTTTGCCCCGAGATATATTGATCCCGGTCCGCTTTGAGCCTGTCCAAATCACGTTTCCTGGGATTGTTGGCAAAGTCTCGAGCAAATCTGGCGAGGGTCGATTGTAGGTCTGTATTGGATTGGCGAACGGCGTCTAGGATGCTAGCCTCGACGCGTTTGCCCTCAGCGCGGAGGTCCTGCAGGATTTGGGTCTGGGAATCACTGACATCGGTTCAGCAAGTAGATCTGCACGACAGCGGGAATGACAGGATACCTCATCACTATCAGTATATTGAGAGACAGCTGCTGTCTTTGGTCGTTCAACCGTTGCCGCATTGCCTCGATGCCCTCTTTGTCCCACACGGCCTTGAGAACCTTGCGGAAGCTCTCCCATGCATTTTGTCCAGGTTCCACAGAGTACCTGCTTAATGCGTGACTGAAATCTACAGCCATATCTCTGCATTCTTGAGAGACGCCCCTCAAGGCCGCTTCTGCTTCCGTCAACTTCTTATTTTTAGCGGTCAAGATGGAAAGTGAGTTCAGGAGGCCATCATCCAGCTCTTTGAGCCGATTTGAGGCCGCTTTCATTTGTCCATGCTCGACCAGCGCGCCGGTTGAACTCCGTGCCAGTTCCCGACTTTTTGAGATCAATTTCGTACCGAAGTCGATAAATTGCACGACGCTTGCAGCAATACTCAGCGCGCTGATCGGATCGAGAACCATAGTGGAGGCGAGCAACCAGTTCGATACAAAACAGTGAAGGTACAACTTGACGAGGCATGTAGAAAAGAGCCGATAGATTGGATGAGACCGCGAGATTGAAGTATACTGTTGAGTGCCTGCGCCCTACAAACCCCACGTTCCCTGGGACTCGATAGGCATCAATGCATCAGGCCCTTGCCGTATGGTGGGCACACCTTCGCCTCCTATCCCTGCCATGTGAAGCAGGCACGTCCACGAGCAGCATATACAGTCGTAGCTGAGGGACCAGCCCTCACATAGCCAATCAAACTTACTGCAGACGATGACGGGGTGCCCTACCACATGCTGCATGTGCTGTCAAGTGGCTGTCGAGCAAACGAGCACAATCGCCCGCCAGTGTACTCCGTAGTGTACGTACGTATTGTTGATCTGCTTGGCACCAGTGGACGCCCTTAGGCAACCATCAAGCACCCGTTTGGGAGAGGTCGGGATGTCAACAGAGCCAGAGGGGCTAGTGGAAGCGGCTAAAGAACGAGGCTGAGTTGGTACCTCGCCGCAATCCGGCGCATTATACGACATGCGAGGCTCTAGGGCTACTGCGTGCGTATGACAAGAAAGTATCAAGCCGGCATGTGGTGTAAAAGCGTGAAAAGCTTTTAGTCTGACGACAGCCAGACTCTGACCTCGCTCGCCCTATCCCCGCAATTTCATTCCTTCGCAAAGTGTTTAACCACTCCCACGACCACTTCAAAATTGCCCTTTCCCACAGCCATAATAGCCAGCACACCAACACAATGGCGTCGCTCTTCTCATCCCGGCGGAAACCTAAACGCATTGCGCGGGACGAGCCTGAAGAACAGGCGGACGACGGTGAAGAAGGTTCGTACTTGTCCAACCCCAACGCCAGACCACCCTACCATTACACCTGTTCTGACATTGTCCTGCCATAGTGTGAACAAATCCCACTGACGACGATATGCAGACACGGGCCCCGTAGTCCGCCGACCGAACACGAACGCCCCGCGCACCAAGTCAAAGCTACGAGTCTCCTTCAACCCGACCGAAGACGATGGCTCCGGCACAGGAAGAGAAACAGGGACGGGCGCCTCAACACCCTCTGAGACGGCCTTACCACGAACAACAAAGCCCTCAAGGATAGACCTCGCACAAGACATCATCTCGCGTCGAGAGCGAGATCAAGAATCCCACGACCAATCCCGCACCCTCTACAATAAAGCCTACCTAGACGAACTCCGAAACTCGACCCCGTCCACTCCACGCGACATCTCCTCCCCTCAAGCCACCCCTTCGACAGATCTCATCCAACCGTCGTCCCACCTCGAACTAGATCTCGAATCCAAATTCGGCAAGGCCGTCCTGTCAATCACATCCTCCCACATCCCCTCCGCCGCAGAGATCAAGGAGAAGAAGGACCGCCGCGCCCGCGCCGCCAAGGAACAAGCCGCGAATGCCTATTCCGGCCAAACGCACGGTGGTGGAAGTGCCGGCGACGACTTCATCTCGCTAGAAGACTACGACTCGGACGGCGAATTCCGCCCCCGCCGCATGCAAGTCGGCCCGTCGATCTCGCAGGCCCGCGAAAAGGACACGCGGCTCGTCCATGAAGACGAAGACATCGCCGAAGGCTTCGACGAGTATGTCGAAGATCCCGGGCGCGTGACGCTCTCCAAGCGCGGGCTGAAGGAGCAGTCGCGCCAAGAACGCGAAGCCATCCGCAACATGATCGACCAGGCCGAGGGCTCCGCGTCAGAGGCATCAGACAACAACACCGACGCGTCGGACTCGGACTACGAACGACGCAAGGAGTACGAGCTGGCGCAGACGCATCACGGCATGGACGGACTCCGCTGGCACTCGTCGCGGACCGCGCAGCTCTCGCGCCCTCAGCAACCGAGAGAGACCACGCCGATCCCCAAATTAAGCGTCGGATTAGCGCGGCTAAAGGACATGCTTTCCGCGCTCGAGTTTGAAAAGGCCAGGATTGTCAAGAGGAAAGCGGACATTGAGAGGGAGAGGGCCGACATCAAGGCGAGTCAGGAACATATCCAGAGGAGTTTGGAGGAGGCAGGCCAGGAACTTGAGAGGGTGAAGAGGGAGCATGCTGACCAGGTGAATGGGACCAATGGCGAAGTGAATGGCCGTGGGCTGGACGCAAATGCTGCCGGCACTGAAAGGGAGAGGGGGTTGGAGTCCTTCGGCGATAATGCTTGACGACGACCGGGGACGGTAGGTGTGGAATCCATCCCGTGATCGTCTTGTAGAACAATTAAATGAATGCCCGTACATGAACTCGCCGTCCCGGGACTTCTCAGCAGGGGAGATATGTGTAAGCCAGGCTGTCCCTTTGCTTGATGCTTTCGTCGTTCAACTTTTCTTCATTTCGCGTTCTGCTGTTTCAGCTTTGGCTACATCTCTAGCTCATTCTCCGATCTTCTCAACTCGATCCATCCTCCAGCTATCGTCCCTTGCAGTGGTTCCAGCTTGGGAGAAATCGCGTATGCCACTATCTCTCACTCCTTTGCAATTTTCCTCGTCAGCTTCGGGAAGAAGGTATTCCTGGAGCCCAACATTGATTGACCCTGGTGTCTCAGCAGCTCCGAAAGACGATCGTGCAATCCAAGAAGCCCGCCTGTCAATCATTCAACCACCGTCCATGATGCGGACCACGTTGTCCTGAAAATGCTTAGCCTCGCCGAACCATCGCCGTGGCATCGTTCGTCGCAGCAACGTCCTACCGACCAATAGCACGTGCACCGACACGTGTAACCGATACACCCACATGTCGGCCACTTTCCAGGAGGTGCACTTTCTACCCCAGCCTGTTGTGCGCCGCGAGCACCTGGATGAAAGCCGATACACCATGGCACAAGGATCTCGCAGAAGACAAGCTCAGAGAGCAGAGAAGACAAAGAGCTAGAAGGCTGTTAGGCTCATAACTGTCCACCGACACGACATGAAACTTACATTGTTCGTAGCAGCGATGGCAATGCTGTCCTCGAATGGATGCCAGCTCATGTGCAAAATCTTCTTGTTAAAGTCGATCTGGTCGGCATCGGTTTCCTTCCTCATTCTGCTTCCAGCACCAGTGGCGGCAGGGCTGCCTGCTCTTGAACCACCTTTCTTGGCACCGTTGGGACTGGCCGAGTTGATGGGAGTCGGCACTCCAACTTTCTTAGCCTTGAAGGCCGATTTGTCTGCCTGGAGCACAACTTCGGTTTCCTGCTCGGGATCTGAGGGGTAGATCATGAAATTGTTGTTGTAACTGCCAGTCATGACATTGCTTCCATCGCCGCTGAAGACCACCTCAAACTTGTCGAAAATGCTGTCATTTTCGTATGTGTCGCACAGACGGGGTCGCAGATGTTCATGGATGGGAATCGTCTTGACCGGCTGCCTCTCCATGTTGACGTCCCAAATCTTCACGGTCAAGTAATCTCGGGATAGAATATATCTGCCGTCGTGTGAGAAACGAACATCGGAGATAGAGGAGATGATCTCGGAAAAGAAGGATCGGGATGAAGGGTCTTCTTCTTGCTCAAACTCTGCAATCCGTTAGTATCATCTCGTCTTCTGTCAGACTAACAGCTTACGTTTGGCGTGCTGGTCGCATAGCGCACTCTCACGCATATCGGCCAATTTGATCGTGCCTTTCGAGCTGGCATACATGAACCAGTTGCAGCTGTGAGGGTGGAACTCGGCTGCAGTAATGACTTCTGTCAGCTCTTCCATGTTGGCGGGTTTGATGTCCACGATGTTGAAGCTCTGATCCTGGATATTGAGATTCCACAGGTTGATGCGCAGATCGTCACTGCTGATGAATGTCTCGCCGTCGCTATTGACGGAGATGCTGTTGATGTGATACGCGTGGGCATTGGCATAGGTGCGTCGAGGGACAGCAGCCACGACAGTATCGTGGTGGGTCATTCTAGGAAGCTTCAACTGCGAAGAATCCTTGAACTGAGGGCGAGGGGCCCCTCCGACGCCAGCACCAGCACCAGCGCCAGCCGGGGTCAGTTCATTAGATAAATTGTTCTCGGCCACAACCTTGAGCGACTTCTCAAACACCTTCCATAGCTTGATGGTCTTGTCGTTCGTGGAGAGGAGGTAATGTGAGGCATTTTGGCGTTTGCACCACTTGATCTTGTTGATCTTTTCTTCTATCTCGAGGGATTTGAGGTAGTCAAATTCCGGCTCGTGAGACTGGAACTCGGTGTGGAATTTATACTCGCATGTCTTTTTCTGTGAGAGGGTCAGTAATCTGCTGCAAGCAGGGATGATAGTGGTCAGTTGCTGACTGTCTCATTGCGCTCAAAGAGGACGACTCGGCCGCCTTTGTCTCCGGTAGCAAGGTAGTTTCCGGTGTGGTCGAATTCGACGGTGGAGATGATATCGGCTTCTGTAATGTCTTCCACGTCACCTTTATCGCCAAAGCATTGCGTGAACTTCCAAGTGGGAGTTCCGTGTTCAGTTTCGACCATCTTTCATCACAGGGTGCGCTGCGGACGCAGACCAGACTGTCCGGCGGCACGCACACACCAAATGCACCCTTATTCAACCTGATGATTTACCTCTGGCGGGGCATGGAGCAATCGCGCGCTTACTCCGTAGTGGAGAATGTGTATGCCGTCGGTTCGGTTGCCAGGTCAAGTGGGTGAAGTGGAAGTGACGGGAAAGTGACGAGGTTGGGCTGGGGTTGAAGATCGGACGGAGGGTTTGGCTCAATTTTGTCAGCGATGCGGCTCAGGCAACAAAGCGCTGATGCAGTGCAGGTGGCGGAATGCTGGGAATGAGACGGAGGCTGTTCTCGTGACGACGGCCGAGAGAGACACTGCAAAGGATGAAGGATATCGGATGTCAGCAGGGGGGATGCAGTCAGTAGACGTGTATGTATGTCGTGACCGTGGGGAGGAAGGCACCAAAGGCACCTGGGAGGTGATGAGGTACCTGCCAGTGCTGCCATTGCTGCTTAACAAAGGAAGCAGGTTAGCCGCTTGGGTGCGTGGGTGCCCGCTAAGGCCTGAGGGCCCCTCGCAGCAGCTTGTTGTCACCCACGTCACAGTTGCTGCTTTCCACTTCCCGCTTCCCGCTTCCCGTTTCCCACTTGGCGATAACCGCCATCGCTCCCACTACTGCTTCTCAGCCTCGTATACCTCGGACCACGCTCACATGTCCCTCCTTTTGACCTTGTGTTGCACTGCTTCCTGTTGCTTTGCTGCTTAACTCCTCTGTTCAACAGCGACTTTCTACTTCTCCCTTGTTTCTCTGCCTATCGATCTTGAGCTATGCCCACCACGCATATTCGCCTAAAGGACATAGCCAAGTTTTCTGGCAAACACAAGGGGTTTGGCCAGCGCGTGCGACGGCCGACGGAGAGATTCCAGAAGATAGAGGCAGGAAATGGACTGTCGGCCGCGGCCAAGAATCCGAGACAGGAGGATGTTGTCAACAACGCGAATGAAGCCTTAGGGTCAGATGCTGGGACAACAAGTAGACCGTCTCCGGACGCCCGGCAATCTCCGTTTCCTGTACAACCGTCAAAATCCCAGATGCTCAGTGAAGGTATGCTCCTCGATGCGCGAGGCAAGCCTATAATCTCGCCCATTCTCGCTCGGGATGCTTGCAAATGTGCAGACTGCATCGACCCATCCGACAGACAACGCAATTTCTCCTACGCAAATATACCAACCGACATCAGCTTCTCCTCGGTATCTCGCAACCCAAAAACTGGGGAGTCACTGGTTCGCTGGCGCAACGATATCCCACCTCATTCTCCGGGCAAAGCATCCATATTCGATCCCGACACCGTCGCGTCCCTGGAAAAGACGTTCCGCAATCCACTGTGGAGCTTGTATAACGTGCCTCAGAGACTGTGGGACTCTGAGTCCTTCACTCGCGAGACCAACCGAATCGACTTCAACGAGTACCAGAACGATGACGATGCACTGGCTGACACGATGTATCTCCTATGGCGAGATGGCCTTGTGTTCGTCGACGGCGTCCCCGAGTCGGATGCATCCGTCTCCCAGATTGTCACCCGCATCGGGCCGCTCATGAACACTTTCTATGGGACTACATGGGATGTCAAGTCAGTACCGGACGCCAAAAATGTGGCCTATACCGCCAAGTATCTCGGATTCCACATGGACTTGCTCTATATGCGCGAACCCCCCGCCTTCCAATTCCTCCACTGTATACACAACGAGAGCGTGGGCGGCGAATCTAGATTTGCAGACACGTTCAAGGCTGTCGACCTCCTCTATGCCCGCGATCCCGCAAAAGTGGTTGCCCTCATGGATCAGCACATCCGCTACGAGTATGACAACGATGGTTATTTCTATTCAGACTCCAAACCTACGATCTTGCGGCTTTCCGAACTCAACGTACCCAAGCGGCCAACCCACAACGCTCAATCCCCGGCTTTAATGTCCGACGTCGGTCGTGTTCATTGGTCACCTCCCTTCGTGGGCGATCTGCAGCAGACGCAGCACGACGAACTCGTTCGCCTGGTTTCCGCAAGCAAGGCGTTTTCCGACATCCTCGAACGGCCAGACATGGTTGTCCAGGAGAAAATGGACAGCGGAACTTGCGTCATCTTCGACAATTTACGGGTGGTACATGCCAGGAATGCCTTCGACCTGAACTCGGGCAGGAGGTGGTTGAAAGGTGCCTACCTTGGCAGACAGGACTTTGTGAGCAGGGCATCGGGTCTGCTTGGCCGGTTTCCCGTCGAGATAGCGTTCAAAGAGACGCAACCTGGTGACTGGCCCCTACGTTGACGCCCTCGGAAATTCTCCGAATCAGATGATCAGTTACAAGAGAGTTCTGCACAATTGCTTCGCCAAAGCGGGACAACAGCACGACAAGGTCGAAAAATACCCAGTCACCACTCTCGATATTATGACTTCCGCCTTCCCGCCAGCCATCTCCGATACTATCAAAGGTGATCCGTATTCACATATCTGGACCTGAAACGGGACGTCGGCCGTGGAAACAATTGAAGCCAAGTGGGAACGGAAGTGCAGTCGCAAGCTACAGTATATATCTCCGTGCATGCACGTCGTTGCCATAAGCGATAGTTGAGCGAGATACGAGATCGACATGCCATGGAGCGGAAGGAACAAACGCCAGATAAAATGCAGTGTGGTGTTGCGAGAGTGAGATCGGCACGGGACTTTGGACAACACTCCGTTCTATTCGTGGCTGAACAGCAAAGTTAGGTCGGCTGAGGGCGCCAGCTCGCCTATAGAGGGTTTGTACATACAGTACGGAGCACCGAAGCCGCGGAACTTGGATGCCTTGAGTAGCTACGCGAGGAGAGCAGACAAACGAATACAAGCGTGGTTCCTGCCCCTTATCTGTATGAACAGCCAGTACAGCAACTCTTTAGAGTCTAGCTGTCGGCCGTCGCGAGTACCGTCGGTGGAATCCTGCCGTCGCATCAAGCGGAAACCGTCTGTTAAAATCATATTCATTCTTTCCATAAACACGTGGCTCAATAGTTTTAAACAATCAACACAGCAGGCCTTATCACGCCTCTGCACTCGCCCTGTAGGGCTTGAAAAATTCCGGGTCGGATTCTAGCTCTTCTCGAACCTGCGCGTACATGACCGTTAGCACACTCCCAAGTGGTGATATCTGCAATGGGAGCGGAAGGAGAACGTACGATATCCAACCCACCCACAAGTTCCCCGTTGGTGTATAATTGCGGAAAGGTCGGCCAGTCGGAGAAAGCCTTGAGGCCCTGACGGACCTCGTCGTCGGCGAGGATGTTGAAGAATCTACGCCACGATAGTTAGTCCAAGGTTCATTCGGGGGTCTATCGCTTAGACGGTTGAAATGGAGAGATAGGCAGACAGGGAGATAGGTGGAGAGCTGGTCTCGGGACCACCGCACCACTTCACACTCCCACACTTCACCTGTCACGTACCCGTATTTTACTTGGTTTTCGCGCAAAATGCTGACTAGCTGGCGACTGAAGCCACACTGTGGCGCCGAGGGTGTTCCCTTCATGAAGAGCATGACCGGTCTAGGAGCACGGATCGTGTCAGTCGAAGGGTGTCCAAATTCATCCCCTCTGCTCTGCTCTCCGCAAAAATCACTTACGCAGCCTTGACCAGCTTGCTCAGCCGGTCGGTCAACTCCTCCCGCTGCTCCTTTCCGCCAGAGTACGCGGGCGCGGTCTGCGGATCGCTGTCCTTGGGCGCGTACCCGCTGAGATCTTTGGTGGCCGTGCCGGTCGCGCCGTTCGGCTGCTCCGACGTGCTGCTCTGCTTCTGCGGTTCGGCTTTCAGTGCGGGCGGGATGCTCGCGGTGCCGTCTGCGGCTGCGGGAGCCGAGCCTGTGCCGGCGTATTTCTCCACCGCGGTGCGCACCTTGGTCGCATCGGAGCCGGACACGCTTTCTAGCACTTTGCCGGCCCGGACAATGACGGTGAATGGCACGGCCGTCACGTCGTAGGTCTCGGAGATTTCAGGTATGTCTTCGGCGTTGATGCTTAGGAAGGAGAGATCGGACGAGCGGGACGACGGGTACGTGCTTGCGAGGGTGGAGAGAATGGTGGTCATCTGCGCACATGGTGCCGCCCAGGGGGTGTGGAAGTAGAGGATGAAGACTGTGGAGGGGGAGGAGGACGAGGTGAGGGAGTTGAATTGCTCTTCGGAGGTGATTTCTTGGAGGCTCAGTGTCGCCATGGCGGCTGGTTTGTGGAGGCCGACTTCAGGACCAGAGGGAGTGTATTGATGTCGAAACAAGCGGTATGGAGACAAGGTAGAAGAGAGGGCGGTGGTGAGGTAGCGGTTGGCTGTACGAATTACTGGCAGTACGAAGTCAAAGTTTAGTAATTAATGGATAGAAAGATCGGGAGGCGTGATGGTGAAATTGTATTTTATCAATGACGCCATGCCCGTTATCGGCCGCAGCCTCGCGTCGCAGCCTCGTCGATACGGCTCTCGGCCTCTTCATTACGCGATCAAACTACTGATACACAATGGGTATGAAAGCTTTTGTACATGTCATGACACTCTTCCTCTCCGTGCCCCTCTTTGCAAGCCATCTGCCTGGACTCATGTCGCACCGAGGCCAATGTCCCTCAACCACGACACGGCGGTTATGCTGGCAGCTGATTGCCTGAAGAATTGATCTATGGCTTCAGCCTCGCCGTCGTTCAAATCATGAATATGCCAGAACAGTGGCAGCTCCACTCGGTTGACTTGCCTGCATTTCTTCAGAATATACTTTGTTGCCGCATTGAAGTCATTGCCAGCTGCATAGTCGTCGAAATGAGTCTTCATGGGTGAGACGGCAATTCGATCTCTGAACGCCGTTGCATTTGTGAGGACGAGCAGGATTATGCTCTTGGTAAAGTATTTGGACTGGCAGATGGCTTTGAGGTAAGACAGTCTTTCTCGAAGCTCGTTGGTCTGATTGGCGTCATCGTGATACCGGTCATAGCATGTCAGGTCAATGGGAAAGAGGCAGAACTGGACATCGGCAAACTGCGAAAGAATCTTGATGGCGTGCTGCTCCCGCAGTTCAACCACACGCAATGTGGACGACGGCATGATCAGCTCGGTTTCTCGCATTGTCTCAAAGTTCTCAGGTGCTCGAATGATGTCAATTTGGCTAGGTGTGTAGTCAGGCCGACAAATCCTTTCGATCGCGCTGAGGTAGCTTGGGCACTGTTAGCAATGACACACTCCGGGAGTGCACGACTCACAACGCGGTTTGTCCATCTTGCCGCATCGCTGAAAAGGCTTGCTGGACATGCCAGTTGTTCCAAATGTGCTTCACAGAGGCTGCGACTTCTGGAGATATTCTCCAGTCCGGCGCCCCGGATTTTGCAAACGCCAGGATGATGTCGGCATGATCTCTGCTGGCTTGTCTCACGAACCCGTTTCCGAGATCCGTGACATAATCAAGAACAGCAACCAGAGCCTTGATAGCCAGGGAAGTGATGGACTTTCTGTAGTCTTCGATCTCGGCATCCGAGAATGGTTGGCCATATCGTTGCCTCATCTGCTTGACTATGCTGGATCGGCCATGCTTGTCACCGACGGCAAGGATTTTGACTTCTTTGCTCAGTTTACGAGCATCTGCTTTCAGTGCCAGATCGATTTTGGCCGAGTCCCTGGCCGTGCTCTTAAGCTGAAGAACGGGCGTGTCGGAGAGTGCTCGTCGTTGTCCTCTCTCCACGATACGCTCTTCCGTCGGAGAATTGGCACGCCTCAGCATCGACCTGAAAGTGTTCTGATAGATCTTGTGTCTCAACAGCAGGCCATCGAAGTCGAACGTCCTCGACAATTTTGTATCTGTCGAGAGGTTGGTCCTCAAGGTGGCGAAGGAAGCGGAATCACGGAAGCCGATGAGGGACGTGGCATCGTCTCTCGCCCGATCGAAGACTTTTCTGCTCGCCTTCCTATGCAGCAGCAGTTCTTGATCGTGTGGTGTTCGGCTGCTTCGATCAGCGACGGCTTCTTCCGGAGAAGGGACTGACACATACCATTGGGTGGCCGTCAGGCACAAGTTGAGAGCGTTGATGTGATGGTCGAGTCGGGTGAGGCAGTCTTTGGTCGCCTGGTCTTCCAGCAAGTAGATGACTTTGCTTCCAGGGCCGAGCAGCGCATCATCGCCCCACTGGAACTTTGAGATCTGGTTATGGATGTATTCGACAAGTAGTTTGCAATGCGTGACCGCATCTCCAAGGTCGATCAAGAGCTGGTAGTATTGGGAATCGCCCTGTAAACTTTCCGCCCACCCTTGGACCTGGAGCAGTGCTCTTTGGACGATTCGTAGCTGACCGGTCAGCAGCGTGATGTTGAGTTCCGCGTCTCGATACTTCTGGCGGAGTTGGTTCAAGGCGGCAACTGACTTCCCAATGACGGAGACGATGCTTGTGACACCGGCTACCACCCCCAGCGCGCCAGAAACAGGATCCATGAATTGTGTGCTGTAGAACACCACCGACCACAGAACCCTCAGCAGAGGCTTTGCTGGAAGTGGTCGAAGTGCAGGCCCATGTTCTTAAGAGGTAATTACTTCAGCTCTGAAAGATGGCCTGGTGACCGTCGGGCTCTCGGCTGGTGCCTCATCTCACCCTAGCAGGGCAATGAGCGGCCATGGGCGAGCTAGAAAGCAGAACGTCGGCTCACCGGCTGAAAGCACTAGGAGCGCCATGATGATACACACCCACGGCTTGAGATTGGACAATGCCCCCTTAAGCGCGCGTTATCTTGCGCCTAACCCCAGGCAAGCCCTGCGGAACAACGTGAGAGAATGTTCCACTGCAAGGATCAAATCGTCGTCTTCTGCCACGTTTGGCTGGCTTGTTATCGATCCATGTGGTTGATCTCGGTTGCTGTCCCCGTGTCCACTAAGGCTGGCAAGACTGCTCAACCACGCGAAGAGCCCTTGCGCCCAGTGACCTGTTGCGCTGTAGGTTCCCACGACGTCAAGCACATTAATGAATGCGGGCGTTCAGGGGCGTGTTGACCAGGGAATCTGCCTCATGTGATGTGCATAATCTGAGTGTCAGAAGTCGGTGCAGCACTGAACGCATAGAGAAGCGAATCGACCTGCCCACGGGTGGATGCAACGACGGCAGAAGACTCCACTGCTCATTCTTGCAGCAACGACTTCATTCGTAGATTTCCCCGCAATAGCACGAGGTACCCTTGTCAGGGCACACCCACGATTTGCATAAGTACGAGGTAGTTGCCTTTCTGAAACACTTGCCGTGTGCGCCTGTACTCGTTTGGCAGTGTTCCAACTTCCATCTTGAGGAATCGCGGCGATGAAGCGTGCTGCGAATCGTCAGTCACTCAGCCCCCAGCAGACCGTGTTTGGGATTTCAAAAGGACAGCCTCCATCAGGTTGTTGGTCCGATGTAACGTCTCAGCTGCAGGAGGCATTCATGATATCTTTCTTGCAAGGAATCTCAGCCCATAGCGGTCTGACCGATTCATGTAGCCCAGAGACACGATAGAACATGAATCATACGAATACCGAAATGGGATCGGACGCTTCAGGCTCTGGCTGCTGAGGCTTGTCAAGCGTCCACGAGCTGATGAAGGACGCCCCGGCTGTGGTGATTTTCACGACGCCATTGTCACAATGGCGTTCGATAGCTTCTGAGATGTTTGGGGTCGCTGGCATCGAGATCCCTGCCCTGTGGAAGAGTTTGTACAAGGATGCAAGGGAAGGCGCAGGAAAGATAATTACATACCGCAGAGCTGGAATTCTTCACGACATGCGAGCGGCCAGACGGCTTCTCGGCTACCTCCATGATTTCGCTTGTTAAGCGCCATAGGCGTGTCCAGCGGTGGCCTAAGTTAGGGGCCTGGAGCTCATCGGCCAGCAGTTCCGAGGGCCCGGCAGCCGCCCGGGAGACGTCACCCCGTCTCGCCTAAGCTCCAATTTCCCGTCTGCATACAGTAAATAACTTCTTCTCCCGCAAAGAAGCCACATCAAGCTTCAGGCATACTACTGCATCAACTGCAAGCAGACAAGACAATGTGCACCCAAACGAATGCCACTCGCACCTTTGCCTTCAGCCTCAGTCGCCTCCTTGCACAGGTCAAGCTACAGAAAGAACGTTGTGAAGTCCTCGCCGTTTCTCACCAATATCAAGTCCGCTGTCATTCTTTTCGCCCAATACCACCGGACTGGTGACCGGAATTATTAGACAGGTGGTGCAGCGCTAGCTTTGGCAATTCGTGCTCCAGGCTTTGGAGCAGATTCAGCATGGGTTCAGAATGAGAATGGACAGGATCTCACGTTGGCCGAACGGCGAGGGTGAAATATTGGTGAAACTGAGGACATCACGGTTGTGGTAAAGGAAGCCAAGGCGTGGGAGCCGATTGTGCCAGCCATGTAACCTGGCTCGTGGAAAGATACTGTGTCATATTCGTGTTGGCAAGGTTGATCCCGTGGCACCAGGGGGTTTGCCGACAGTGAAGACTTTCGTCGACCATCGACCACTACGTTTTCCCTTGTGGCTACCTTACTCCACCAAGCAGCTTCCCTCGGCCGTTCACGTCGGGTCAGAGCGAGAGCTTCTAGAGGTGTGGAGACCACTCAGAGTTTACGGCTGCACTCTATTTGCACGTTGCAGGGCTGGCGCGAGAGTTTTGACAATCAGAGAATACAATCGAGAAGACCTTCGCGGAGAGGCACAAGGACGACGTCCGAACGCTATCATGAAAGAATGGTAGGTGAGTGTTGTTTCCTGGCTTGAGAGCTTCCTACCCTAGTGGATGGGCCAGTCTCTAGTCCTACTTCATGTACTGCCAGGCTGGCTTCCGCTTACGGATTCCGGGCGACTATGTGATTTTGGCGGTCGAACACCAGAGCCGAGCTATGGCATCGACATTCCACACAGAATTCAGCCATCGACGGGGAATTCAGTCATCTTTTGGTCGAAGTTTATTGTCAGACTGTCGCTCCCTTTCCCTAGGCCAATACCGCGGACGGGAGTGCTCTTTCCACACCGCGACGAGATATTCCGTCCTGTCTCACCTTTTGTTGGCTCCACACGTATCGGACCTCCTTGCCAGTGTCGGTAGAGACCACCATCTGGTGGACAGTCCAATGCTGCTCCACCGTCATACCCCCTTATTCATGCCCCAAGATCACTGATTGCTCCGTGTCAATACAGCCCGTTTATCACCCAGCATACAAATACGCCGCCCCACCATCTACCACACGAGTGTATCTCCTATTCGCACGTCCTCACGTCTTGGCCACCTTCTCTGCAAACAACTTCCGATACACCGTCCTTCCAATCTTGTAGAACCACATATGATTCAGCACCTGTAACACGACGGACGAGAGAGCGTGCCCGGCCAGCAACCACGTCGGGACGCGATCATGCCCCACGGGAATGTCGGCCTCGTCGACGACATAGGCGCGCCAGATGTCGAGGTAGAACCACGCCTGGAGGTAATTCCCAAACAGGATGCGTGACAGGAAGAACGAGACAAAGAAGGCCACCCCGTTGACGATCTGCAGGGTCGTGCCCTCCATCTGCAACGCCCGCAGCACCGACTGGATGTCCAGAAAGATGGTCGAGAACTCGTACAGGAACGACGCCGGCGAATACGTCATGAATGCAGGGCGCTGGGAGTAATGCGTGTCGCGTCAGAACGTGCCGCCTTTGGATGTTCCATGTTTCGTGTGTATATGTCGACGACGGGCGTGGATTGATGCAGATTGGAATGGAAATGGAGATGAAGATGAAGATGTAGATATAGATATAGATTGGGATTGGGATTGGAAAACTGTAATATGAAAGTGCAATCAGGGTGAACTCACATATCCATTCGTCATCAGGAACGACACGGCCAGCGCGTGCGCGACCATGGCCCACCCAAACACTCGCCTGTACCGCACCATCATCATCAAGTGCCAGTAGAAGTAGCCGTTGCCGATGGTGAGCACCACGGCCGTCGGCTCCGTGTACGCCCACACGCGCTCCTGCCAGGTCATGCGCTGTCTCTCGCGGTCGAACAAGACGACCTGGCCGGCCGCCACGCAGAGCACGATCGCCTGCACGAACGACACGGCGTTCTCGTCCCAGTGGAGTTTCTGCCTGCCCCGAAGAGCCGGGTAGGACTTCGGGAACAAAACGGTCGACAGCCATGGCCCCACGGACGTGTAAATCAAGTGGTATGCCGAGAAGGTCACCACGATTCCCGGCAGGTAGGTCGGCAGGAGGGGCAGATTCAATGCGTCGCACAGTGTTGCGACGGGACCATAGATTTGCGTCTGGAGGGTGCGGGAATGGTCCATCGCGCAAACCCGTCCTGTGTTTGTTGTGTCGTGTGCGCAACGAGGTCAGGGGTCCGCAAGCGTAGTAGTGTAGTCTATGCTGACGACGGGGAAATGGAAGACGCACACAGTATTGTTACGTGGTGCCCGATTCGGCGCTGAGAAATGCACCCAGGTACTCGATCGTCGTTTGTGCGGATTATGTAGTGTGTGAGTTTGTATTCGTCTGCTTGCTGTGTAACCCATCAGTACTCCGTACTGGACTCGTGGCAGAAGTCTGGGGGCCGAACGTCGGCCTTCGCAGCGTCATATTTCCCCGGCCAGAAGGGAGGCTGACGATCGCTTCTGGCAGGCCGTCGATCCGCTTAATTTCAGTCCGAGTTTGGAGCACTTACTGGGACGGAGTAGGCACGGACTACTACTAGCACCTCACGGCAGCTCGCATGCAACGCCCGCCACGATGCCGAACCCGAGGATCAATGCCTTACATGCCTTATCTCAGGACATCAGTGAGGGGACTCTACGGAGGACATGGGACTGTAACCCGTACACGTGGTGACGAGGTTTATCTAATCGTAAGAACCACCACGACTACCAGGTACCTAGGTACCACGGTAGGCAGGCTTCATAAGCTGGCGCTACGTGAGAATGTCGAGGAGATCTCGAACCACATATGAACCGACAAGACAGCCAGCCAGCCAGCCAGCCCCCAGTGCCTCAGTGACTTTAGTGCCTCAGTGCCTTCAGTGCCCTTCTATTCCGATGCCGCCCGTGATCCTCATGGCTTTCAAGTCTAAGGCTGATTGACAGTAGTGGTTGAGTTTGCGAAATGGAAGCTGCCAGCCTGGGGCGCCACATGCACTGTGCAGGTCAGAACATACCTAGGTAAAGGTACATACTGTCGCTTTACATACGCAGAAATTCGAAGTGGCGCCGCCCAACACAACTATGGGTGAGCGACTGATTGAGCTCAGCCTTCTCAACTTGATACTGATATCAGCATCAGCGTCAGTTTCAGTATTACTTGTGCGGTCCATTCGCACCATTTATCTACGCTTCCGTCTCCTGCGGTTGCGTCGGTAATATGGTACGTCGATGTAAAAGCAGGCTCGATTGCGTACACCTATGTTACTCTGAACCTTCCGTCCATCCTATTCGGACTGCATACTCCGCATACTGGACAGGCTTATAACCCTGGGCGGCCAGCCAGCGTGGTCCCCAATCCAACAAAACTTCTTTGTCTCCTGCTTGCTCGTTTACCGCAGGATCCTCTGCACGTTCCTGGTCAACCAAGCCACATTTTGCGTCAACTCCTGAGCGCATTGTCTGTCTGGCAAGATCAGCCTGATGACGACCGCCGCACGACGCGGAACCACCCCATCACTGCCACCACCACACCCGACCAGGACTACCATAACTTCCACCGCGAGTTTCCGGCCGACTACCGGGACGGGATTGGGTGGATGATCTGCCTGTGTAGTTGGTGCGCTGGCGTATGATCTCAAGCGCTTCCAACACACGCGGAGGTCGTAAAGGGCCCAACATCTAGCAGTCGCGGAAACGCCACCGCGAACGGGGCGGGAAGTGCGACTGGGGGACGCCTGTCGCGCATCTCCCCGGCATCGAGTGGGGCGAGCACTGGAGACAGGTGGCCGAGGGGGAGATGCTGCTCCCGAAAGAAGGTATTGTGCATGACATTTCGAAAGTTCTGGCAGAAAAACTATCATGGGGCAAGGCCCACATCATTTCCCATCTCGCAGGCGATGCGAGTGCTCTGTTCAGCGGCCGGTGTACAACCAAGCGAATGCCGCGTGGAATGTGCTTGCTTGCGACAACGCCCGTTGCCGCTCTGATAGGGGGAGTTGGAAGTTGAGGAAAAGAAATCTCGGGCCTCGTGAGGAGCAATGAATCCTCGTAACGTAAGAAACTGGTGCAGAAGGATGGTCCAAATATGGCAAAGAGCAACGTCTGTCGATTCGACGGGGAAAACATCGCATCCCAGCCTTTGAGATTCTCGGCCCTGTACCGGAGTCATCGGGTGTGTTCTGTCTGACCTTGATCGTGCATGGAACAGACAATGTTCATCCGCCGGCACCCGCGACGGTCACAATCGTCTTCATCTTGACGCTCACGCCGTGGTTGTGGCAATGTGTGGCATCGCTTCGGGTGATATATGTCTTCTGCACTGGCGAAGACTGGCCCACTTATCGTCCCCTGGTAGCGGATAGCATTCGGTTGGGCCCCCTGGAAGCGCAGGACAGGGGCAGAATGCAGTTTTGATGCCCGCCGACATCCACACCATACGGGTACTGATGGGGCTCTGATCGCATTGCCTGCAGTGCGTGGCTCAGCTCCTGCCTAGCAAAATCAAATGAGGATGTCCCATAGGACTGCTTGCAGCCAGCCGATTGTGCAGACATGCAACCCGCTGGGACGAGCACAAGTTGAATTAAGTCGCAAGCAAGTAGCCTCGTCGCTGTAGCAATTCGGCAGCAGGCCAGGCAGGGCTTTGATATGATGGGATGTATTCCAAGTCCCTCCTGCAACCCGTTATGCCATATTGTCTGCGCATATCGCATGTCTGCGCGCTCTTCCTCGACGTCTGAGATTGTCTGCTTGCCGGCTGGCCTCTTGGAACACGGCGCAGCTATCATGTCTTCGTATCGACGTACAGGAGTGAATAAAGATGCGTCGTGATGTTGTTGGTTTGGTCTGCCCGTTCAGTGAGATGACTCCTGCTTGCTCATCAGGTCCAGACCGGGCTGCAGGCTCAGTTTCCATGCTGGTCGCTTGGAAGAGTGAGATGGCGAATCATATACTCTTGGATCCAAGAGTTCCGCTACACGCCACGTCCGCCGACATGGGACGACCGTGTAAGGCTCCCTGCTATATGCGGCTCCATGATCGGGTCACAACGCTGACCATAATTCTGTGATCCTCAGCCCAAGGAAGCTCCCCCTGAGAGCTGTCATTCCTGTGGCACTATTGGCCAGTTGTAGGCAGGCAGAGCAACTGACAGAAGTGCATCCAGTCAGATCTTTCTCGCAAAACCAGGGCCCCGGGGCGCTTTTCAAGTTATGCCGTGGGTTAAGGCGTATTGCAAAGCCCAAATGAGAGGGCTTGTGTGTTACCGCTTCCACTCTCCCCTTCCTCTCATGTATCCTTCAATGCTTCTCCAGACCTCTTCTACAATCTCCCGATCCCTCCACCGCCGAGACATTCTTGTCTCTGGTTCGACATTTGTACCATGTGCCCTTTCGTCCCATCTCTCGACAGCGAAGCTTTTGACACTGCTGCCCCAGCCTTTCACTTCCGTGGGAATGGGTAGCCCCTTTTCACCCACATAAACGCCCAGCACGTGCCCAAACAACTCCTGCGGTTCTCGCCATTTGTACCCTCTGAACTGCCATATCTGGCCTGTTGTGAATACAGCGACGACACGGGACCAGTAATCTGGTTTGAAGTGTTCAGGGGAGTCGACAAGGATGAAGCGGAAGGGTTTTTCGCCCAGAGAAGGCATTGTGCGGGTAATGTGTAGAAGGTTGGCGGTTGTTTGGGTAGACAGGGTAGGATGATCTGGTGGGACGAATAGCCCAGTGTCAAGGAACGTCTTGATGTTGGACATGCGGAGCAGGGACGAAGCTGAGGGCGAGAGGAGGATGATTGGATCGGAGCGTTTCGACGAAACGGCGGAGGATAACGGTTTGGACATATTCGCAGCAGGACGAGCTGCAAGGGAAGCTGATTTTGCGGGAAGATGGCCAGGTCGTGAGGAAGAAGGAATGCCCTTTCGTCGGCCCAGGAAGGTCTCTGCGTGCTTCCGGACGTGCGAGAAATCCTACCATGTGTTAGCGCGAGGAGCTTGCAACAGCCAGAATGTTATCTCCCACTGTAGGCTTGATCCCCCTCAATACGGTATTGTGGTCTCCCAACCTTCGTTCTCCACTGTAGATAGCTTGTAACCTAGCATCGATGACCTTGACAGGCCTGCCACCGGCAGTCTGCGTAACCCCAACACCAGAGCCGCCGACCGTAGGCACAGCGGCACCACCGGCTACATCTGCGGCTCTGTTGACAGCATCCCCCAACGTGGAAGCTCCCTCGATGGGCTTGATGTATTCCGACTCTTCTGAGGCGCCTTCTAGCCATGTGATTAGGTCGAGACGCTCGACAAAGACCAGATTCCGCACTTTCTGGCCTTCGGGTAACTGCTTGTCAAGCTCGGCCGCCCGCGAAATGTACTCTGGCACAGGCACATCCTTCTGCTGCCACGCGAAGAAGATGCTCCTTAGATCGACTCGGGCAGTGTCTGGATTCGTTGATTCGAACCGGGTCGCTGTGTCTAGAGGCAGGCACTGCGGAAAGGGGTGGGTGAAGTACAGATGCGTCGCTTCAACCAGCGAATCCGTTTGCTTTGCGTCCGCTTCAGAGGGATCTGATGCGGTGGTCAGGAGCGGAGTTTTTGCGGCAGCTATCGAGGAGCGCAACAGCTGCAGTGCGTCTGGAGTCGCCATCTTTTTTTTCTGCAGGGAAGTCCCTAGGACATCGGCGTGGGCGAGGATGCTGTGTGATTGCAGAATTGGCGGAGGCGAGGCCTAGTCAGTGACATTGAGCTCTTGGTCGCTGTTGGACGAAGCCTGAGAAAGGCTTCACTTCACGCGTACGTTGTACTGAGCACGTGACTGATTAGCTCCTCACACTGCCCCTTCCAGCACGGCGTGAACGGCCAAGCCGCCGTCTCTTCACACCACCTCATCAGCCTTACCGGGTTGCTCTTACTCTTCTCACAAGGACAGGCCAGCCCAACGCGCAGACCGGGGTATTCTCACCATCCACGCATCCTCCGACTTACGTTACATGCGAGGCCTACCTCACCGGTCAGCGTGCCATCCAAGGTGTGTCGGAATTGCAGGAACAGGATCTTCAGCGCCGTCATCTCGCTTCCGCTGCGAGTCCAAGTTCTCGAAAATTCCCCTTTCAGGGGTGAGTGGAGCGTGTTAGGGCGGAGCCTGGGGCCACAGCTTCTGTGCCTGGTCGCCTGCGACGCAGTTTGGTCGTTCTGACGGGCATGCGCCAGAAGGCAAGACTCCGTACTTGCACTTGCACGAGCAGGGGCAGGTTGGGAACAGCGCTCGGATGGTCTAGCCATGTTATTGCTATTTCCCGTTTCCAACACAGTTACCACAGTAGACAGTACTCTCAACAGGACCACTCATGGGTTGCTGACGTCTGACGTCTTCTCCTCTCCATCACCAATGATCCCAATGCCAGGCCTCTCCCCGTTGTCCACAAATTGCATCCTCCACAGGGGTATCTTTCCAATGTAAATGCTGTAAGGATTGCGCATGCCCCTAAGCTATGCAAGTCGTAACAGAAACACCCAGCCACCGCCTGACCACGCTATGCAGAACACCTGTACATGATTTGTATGCACTAGATGCGGCGGGATCCCGCCAATTGAAAATCAAACTATCCTCGCAATGCCGAGTGCCGCGAGAGTCGTAGACACATGCTCGTCCAGGCCGCTAATGTCCGCCAGCAATGAGGCAATGCCATTTTGTACACAGATTCCATGCACGGAGTCTGAAATCGTTTATTCATCACATTAAAATGTGGATGTGAAAAGGTGGCGGTGATGAAGCAACGCGTCCGCCGATGAAATCGTCTCTTCGAGAAGGTCATCGTAGAATGGACTCCGTAGAGAAGGGGTCATGATCTGGTATTCGATCGACTGACTGTTCGTTCGGGGCCAGGTGAAAGTGTCCGGTTCGAGCCAATCAAATCTATTTCGTGATCTCGAAGGACGGCAGCGTGCCTAGGATCTCGCAGGAATTTGGGTACGGAATCCTGGACATGGTTAGTCGACCAAATCCCAAGCAGCAGACCGCTGAAACTAACACTGGCCATGAGCTTGAAGACCACGTTCTGGGCAAGCTCAAACAGTTCCACAACCTCTTCAAGACTTCCACGCATAGATTCCTCATCAGTGTTGGTGCGAATCATTCGGCTGTCGAGTCGGTTGCGGAGTGAGTGGTCGATGTTGAGCTCAGAGGGCGCTCCAGAGGCGAGGAAGGAGTTGTACAGGCCTAGATCAATCAGCGCAGTTCGGACGAGGCCGTCGACACACTTACCATAAGCTGCAGCCAGCGTCTCCCTGACGGCATCGGGTCGGTCCAACTTTCCTGCCTTCTCGAGAGCACGATAATTGCTGGTGAAATCGGACACGTCGAAATAGAATTGCAAATTCTCCTCGCAGAGGGACTGTCGGAGGAACTCCTTGAACAATAGCCGAAGAGCCGCATCTTGTAGGATGACATTGAGCCGGTTGACGTTGGAATCCTTTGCCAGCCGGCTCTTGGGGTCTTTGATATCCCGACTATCCTCGCTGTCGATGCTTGGAGGCCGCGCAAGCCAACCGCAAACCCGCTGCCCTCTCTCGGTAATAGTGTAGATAGCGTGCTTGGTTGGTTGGAAGTACGTTGCCATTGGATTTGCGCGGACGTAGGCCCTATCCTCCACCACAGTGTTACACACGGCCTCGCAGGAGACCGGCCACGAGTCGCCAAGCAGAGACTCGCTACGTTCATTGGACACCTGGAGGGAACACAGGGCGAACCAGGATTGGCTGCGGACCGTCACGTGACAGGCTCTGTCGGCCCTGGGGGCACAGCAACAGAGCGAGCAGAGCGAACAGAGCGTGGTGCAGGACACACGGGTATATATACGCTCATT